GGATAGAGTATATGGAAAAAGTCCAATATCTATGCATAGTCAAATGATAAGCCTTCCAAGGTTTGAAAATATCCTTAAAAAGTCCAGAGGTTAAAAAAGTACTTATCTATAAAGAGAAGACAATGAGATGTCATGAGACTTCCTATCAGTAAAACTGGATTCCAGAAGATAATGGATGTCTTCAAAGTTCAGGGGAAACATACATTGCATATGAAAAATACACTGAATAATAATTACATATTTTAAATATTTTTTGTTGATTTTCAATTTTTAGCATCAGCATAGTATGCTTAATTATACGTAGAGAACAGAATGTTATTGTTATAAACAACATCATCATTAACAAAATTTGGGTAGTAGAGGTGGAGTGCAGAAGAAAGAAAATACTGTGGAAGTATGGGACTCCCCAGCTTTGAAACCAAGAAGTCAACAATTTTATAAGTTGGCAAATTAAGAAATGGAGAAATGTAAGGTATATTTTTAAAAATATAATTTTAACTACTGGAATAAATACAAATGTTAATTATGAATAATTTCTCTGGGAAGTAGAAGTATACTTTCCTATAGTGTATGATTTTTACCATACATCATATTATACACACACACACACACACACACATATATATATGTATGTGTATGTATGTGTAAGTATGATGTCTGGAGGCGCCAGGGTGGCTCAGTCAGCTGAGCTTCTAACTCTTGGTTTTGGCTCAGGTCATGATCTCAGGGTCATGCGATAGAGTCCCATGCTGGGCTCTGCACTCAGACCCTCCCCCACTTGTGCACACACACACACACACACTCTCTCTCTCGCTCTCAAATAAATAATAAATAAATAAATAATTTAAAAGAATGATGTCTGAATAGGATCAAAATGGAACTAAAGGAGGAATGAAAATTACTAGGAAGCTGTGGCTTTTGAGATCCACTGCAGCTTTGGTGGCCTCGGGATGCAGATGTGATTTTGGATTGCATTGCTGTTGGGAGGCCATAGGTGAGCCCATAATTGCATGTACAATGTTTAAGTAGTTTCAGACAGGGACATCTCTAGCACTATAGGCATAAGATGTGTGCATATCAGCTGAGGGGTGCATGGTCCTAGATGCATCAGTCAATGTGCCTACTGTGACCCTTCCTGCCCTGCTCAAACTGCCCTACCCAAAATGCGATGTTGAAAGATGATGAAAGCAGCATCAATGTTGGTCTTTACTTGGGGATGGCAAATGACTGGATTACACTCTTTCAATAGCCTACTCACTGGTCCATGGTGTGATCTGGTAACTAGAGTTGAAAAAGTTCAGTGAATTCCTTTTCTCAGGAATTTGAACTCAGAACGTGGAAAGATTTGCCTGGAAGTGGACAGGGTTAGAGAGCTGCTGTGAAAAGGTCTACAAACTGCAACTGTGAGATCCCTACAAACTGCAACCAGGAGATCCCGCTCAAGTCCACAGCTGTCCTACAATTCCAGTTGCCCAAGGCTCTACTGTATGTTCTGTGCTTGATTTCCAAGGGGTCCCATCTCCTTGTAAGACCATACGTACCTTTCCAATAACTACTCCTTTTACTTGAGTTAGCTTGAGACAGACTCTTCCATGCAACCCAAATCACTCTAATTGAAAGGCCTGACAACAATTTCACTTGGCATTCAAAAGGCAAGAGAGGCATGGTGACTGCTGTCCCCTGGGACAATAGGGTGAGCTCCACTTTGTGCAACCCCACCCTATACCACAAGAACTGGGTGCATGAGGCTGAAATTGCTTTTTTAAGAAGAGTAGTTTAAAAAAAAAGCTGCTTAGTTTTTTTCTTTTTAAAGCTTGCTGCTCTATTGGATTGGAGATCTCAAGGTAGTTCTCGAAGCCTCCAGTCTTTTTTTTATATAGATATATTTATTTTAGAGAGAGAGCACATGAGCAGGGGTGGGAGGGACAGAGGGAGAGAGAAGATCTTAAGCCCACTATGCGCTGAGTGTAGAACCTGAAGCAGGGCTCAATCTCACGACCCTGAGATCATGACCTGAGCCGAAACCAAGAGTTGGATGCTCAGCTGACTGAGCCACCCAGGCACCCTAACCTCCAGTCTTCTAAAATGAGCTTAGGAGAATTTTTTTTTTTTAAATAACCTTAAAGTTCTATTTAATGACGATTTTGTTTTTCAGACCCAGAGGTAATGGAAACTATACTAAACCTAAACCTTCAAAACAGAGAGCAACAAAGATGTTTGGAAGCTGTAGACTGACCTCCTTCCTTTCTTGTTAAGCCCTTCTCCTGGAGCCCTTCCTAGGAAGCCTGAGAAAGAGGGAAGCAAGCCCTGACACCAGGCAACTGGTCTGCCCCGCAGCCAGGCCTTGCCATTCTTCTGTTGAATGCAAAACTTTCACAGAGAACGAACATCAAGCAAAGCCATTCTGTGAGCCTGATGGATCAAGACAAAAACAGGATCACTCTCTGGCACCTGGGTGGCTCAGTTGGTTAAGCGACTGCCTTCGGCTCAGGTCATGATCCTGGAGTCCCAGGATCGAGTCCCACGTCGGGGTCCCTGCTCAGCAGGGAGTCTGCTTCTCCCTCTGACCCTCCCCCCCTCATGCTCTCTCTCTCTATCTCATTCTCTCTCTCAAATAAATAAATAAAATCTTTAAAAAAAAATACAGGATCACTCTGTAACTATGTCTGAACTCAGACAAAACATGAACATTGCCCTAACTGCCCTAATAGTCTCCTATCTAAATAAGCTTTATTAAGACACCGCATCACAGAATTAACCCCACTTCCTGAGAGCATCCAATTAAAGTGAAGCCCCACTTTCTTAGCCCACCTTAAATCACCTTAACACAAGCCCATATCCTTTCTAGTAAGTCCTCTCTAATCTTTCTAATTTATGCCTTCTTCCTGAGATGCCCACAGTTCTCCCTGGAATGTGCTCTTTCTCCCTAAAAGATGAGTAAACCCAACTTGTTCAGCAACAGATGTGTTCCTGGTAGTGTTCAGCCAGAGGGTTTGACAGGTCTTATGAGTGTTATGTTTGTCTGCTCCATTCCTAGTATTTCTTGTTTTGGATCATCAAAGAGTGGTTCCCCAGAACTAACTTTCTTGGTCCAGGCAATAATCACCAGTGTTTACCAAGTACTTATTACCTGCCAGGTGCTTTATATGGATTAACTCATTTGATCTTCACAATGGCCCTGTGAGTTAATAGGCTTAGTACCCCATATACAGATGAGGAAACTGAGGTACAAAATTTATAGCACTACCAATTGGCTGAGCCAAGACTCCAAGGCAGCCAGCTGGCCTGGCTCTAGGCTCCCATGTCCACACAACCCTGCCTCCCACTGCATTGGTGCACTGTGCTCTTGTGGGTCACTGAATAGTGTGAGGTCACTGGTCACTATGCCATCACCCCACAATGAAAAGCACTATGGTAAGCCGTCCCAGGAAATCACTGCTGGGTTTCCTTTAAGATATGGAAGAATGCACACCCACAGGGAAAAGGTAATCTTCCTGATAATAGTATCAGAAATAACTGAGCTTCTAAGCAACTGGATTTTTTTCACCTCATGAACACATTAATCATATAATTCAGAGTTTTCAACCTAATTTTAAGAAAGGTATGGGATGACCATAAATTGAATAAACCTAACCAAGAAAGATACTCCTTTTGTGTTTTTCTCTGTTTTACTAATGTGGTCAAGAGAATATCCCTGCTTGGTAATAATATGACTGGCATTTCTTTATCTCCCCAAAAAGAGGGGGGCTGAGGTACAGAGCCTTAGAAGGCAATAATTAATATCTAGTGAGATTTCAATAACTTAGTTTCATTTTATTTTGTTTTTGTGATTACCTTCCATCTATGACCTACTATACTGGTTTTTCCTTTTATAAGTGATGTAAAGTTTCATTTAAAAATTATTTCAGTAAAAATTTGAGTTCGTTTAAAGAAAAATGTCAAATAAGTGGTGGTACAGGCAGTAAGAAACCAAACAAGGAAACAGAAATCATGAAGGTGTTTTGGGAAACCCTGACTTCAGTTTCCTCTTCACCTTGGATACTGGAAAGACGAGAGTTGAATTCATTGGTCATTGACCTCAAGGGTACAGTTCCCAGCTGCACCAGTTGCTCCCACAAGTCCAACCCCTGGCTTTATCTTCTCCCTCCTCCCTCACTCTCCCCTCTGCCTTCCTGCCTTGCTACCCTCCAATTTTCAGAAGAAATTAGTGGGGGGTCGAGGGGGTTGAGAGTAGGGACGACATAATAAAGAACATCCCTTTGCTTTGATAACACCATGACCAAAGAGTGGAAGCGACCCGGGCTACCCACTCACTTAAATGAGGCGCAGGGACAGCTCTCAGAAAGCCCCCATCTGATTTCCTCTAGTCCTGTGAAGTTTTCGTTCTTCAAACTGCGCAAGAACAGTGTTTCTAAAACTGCTTGGACAGCGGATTCTTTGGCCCTCCTCCGTTCCAGCTTAGAGTCACTATGACAGCTTGTTCCCGTAAGAAGTGTGAGTGAATTAAACTACTTGGGGGGAAAAGCCAGGGAGGAGATGCCACAGATGCGTCCTCCTCCCCCCTTTCAGGCTATGTAGCACCTCGACCCTCACTCCACCCCATCCCTCGGAGTCCGGAAGTTTTGGAGGACACCCTGCGGGAGTGGGATGGGGTAGATTGCAGGGATGGCTCCCGGGATTGAGAGGGAAGTGGGCAGCGCGGGGGAATAACGCCCCGGAGCCCCCGGAGGCTCAGCCCCAGACTCCCTGGAAAGCCCAGCAGTCTAGACAGGCTGGGTTTAGATTCTCCCCTCTGGGAGAGTTGTCAGGAAGTCTGGGGGAGGGGCGAGCCGCTGTCTCCTGTTCTCCGGGCTCGGGAGGCTGAGAAGGCACGGCGGCAGCAGCGGGTCTCGAGCTGTCACGCTCCCGCCCACGGGCGGGCTCCGGGGCTCCCGAGGGGGCCCGCGGGGCGCAGGCGGGAGGCTGGGGGCGGGGGCGGCGGGCAGAGCGCGCGGGCCGGCATGGAGGGACTGGTCCTGCTCAACGCCCTGGCCACCCGGCTGCTGTTCGTGCTGCACTCTCTGATTGGGATCTGGCGAGTGACCGAGGTGAAGAAGGAACCGCGGTACTGGCTGCTCGCGCTGCTCAACCTCTTGCTCTTTCTGGAGACTGGGCTCACCCTCAAGTTCAAGCGCGGGAGAGGCTACAAATGGTGAGCGCACCCCGGGAAAGGGAGGGCGCGCGGAGTCCCTGGGCACTCTTCCCTATGGCACTCGCCAGCAGCCCAAGAGCTCATCTCCCCCGCAGTCCGCCTATTCTTTACTCGGATCCGGACCCTCTTTGTCCTCGCCCGGAGCTTCCTAGGAGCGCGAGATGCTTGCGCATCTCTGGGACACGCCGGAGTGCCTCAGGGTGCTGCCTCTCCCGGGGCAACACAGGGAAGGCTCAGTCGCGGTCCAGTGTCACCCAGTCCAAGCAACTTGGAAGATTTGAATAAAGAAGGGCAGCGCTTGCCTGCTCTGCAGAAGGTGCTCTAGAGCAGGGGAGTCACGGGGCCAGGGGGATGTCCATGTGTTCTGCTTTCTGAACTTGGGGTGTGTGGGTGTGCGCTCGTTATTCGGTGCATGCAGGTGTGGGGATGCGTTTCGCTGGGTACAAGCGACTTCTGTTAAGAGCTTGTGTGCATAGAACAGTCTCCCAGGGCGAGAAGCCCCTCGAAGCACTTCTGTGCCGCCCCACTCCCTTCAGCCTGGCGCCCTGACATATGGCACCAGCTTCAGGTGCCCCAGGTGGGTTCCTTCGGAGCTTGGTTAATGGAAGTTCATCTTGTCAAAGAAGGGTTGCCACGCTGGTGGAGGGACCAGCAAGGAGGGTTCAAACTTAACCTCAATCTGCAAGAACTTAAAGGTTCTGTGTGATATTTTATTTCCTCCCTAAAGACTTGAGTGACAATAGAAGAGTTGAGAAAAAGATTCTCTTGCCATTTACGGAGAGTTTCCACCTCCATCCCTTCACTCCCAGTAGATTTTCATCCAACTTCTCCAAGCTAGGCCTCTTCCTGTATTAATTTTTAAAAACAGTAAAACTATGGTCATATAAAAATCCAATAAAATGTATGCTATATATTAGTAAAAAAAAAAGTAAGGCAATATTTTCATATATGTCAATACTTTTAAAAATACCTAATGCTAGAAGAAATACCATTAGTCAAGTCAAAGAATTACATACAAAATGGCATTATAGTAAGCCACCATGTTAAGGGGGAAAAAAAACCCTCTCTACAGTTTTACATACTAAACTGCAAAAGGCTGTGTATCTCATGACAGTCGAAGGGTGAGAATGTGTTGTTGTGTCCCTTAAGATGATGTGAATCTTGCTTAAATTTTCCACTCTTGAAAAATTACTAGAATTATCAGTGAAAAAATTATTCAGGTAGAATCGTAATGTAAATCGGTAAGGATGGGACTATTATAGCTCCTCCCCCACGCTATGATCAGCTTATTAAGCAGTAAAGATTTGAAGTACTTTCCAATGTGCCTTTTAAAAACCTCAAAGAAAAATGGCATTAGCTTCCCCAATAAGCCTTAGGGTTAAAGAAACAGAAGGAGAGAAAAATGTTCATCCAGCAGGTCATATGAGATTTATTTAATTTTTACGGAATAGCTTTAAGATGCTAGGGTAGAAAATATCTTCAGTAACAGGAGCATGAGGTCTGAGGCTGAAAAGTGCTCCATGGAAGGTAGTCCTGTCACCAACCAGCACAGCTTCTGGGAGAGAGGTCAACCTTAAAAGGGGGACCAACCCACTGGGCCCCAAAATATCCTCCCTCATGTTCCAAGAGTAGACCAGAGGTCCTCGTTCATGTTAAGTCAAAATTCCCCTCCAGTTATGTAGAAATACCATAGCCAGTTGAAACTTTACCTTCATGTCTATACCATCATTGGCAGCTGGTTCTAACTGGTATGCAACTTACAACTACGAGAAGATAAAAGATTGGGGCAAAAATGGGTGATCAATGTTAAATAGGGAACTGAGGATGTATTTGTGTGTAGAGTGTGGTCTCAAAATCAGAAGGAAAATGGAGCAATGGAGCAATACTTATTTGCTCTGAGGCATTGAGCAAGTTACTTAACCTCTCTGACCCTTGGTTTCCTCATCTATAAGTACTTATACGTTGTTACAAATTAAATGAAATAATATATTTCATGGTTGATGAATTAAAAAAGAATTGTTTTTTTAGATCCCAGGATTTTTTCTCTTTTTTTCTTCTTATTAAAAAATATTATGTGTCAACTGGACACATTTTCTGTCTATACAAGTCCAACAACTTTACTTGAGGGACTGGACAATAAACCATTGGCTCAGAATCAAAAAGTAGAAAAAAATTTCTCACCTTTATTTCAGAACAGGCCATGATGTGTACTGTATATTTTAGCATTTATTGAAAAAATTGTGCTGGCTCAATACGTAGACTAATATTTGAAAATAAGCAAAGAAAATAGTGGATTTGACTTGTAAAATTTCAGGAACAAATGAGTCTTTGTAAATGATCTAAATAGAAAGCTGATTAATGAAGCTTTGTTCTACTGATATTACTAAATGCTTTGTTCTACTGAGCCTGCAAATGTGGTCATTTTTGTGGTGGACAAAACTCACACACTATTCTGTCATAAGTTTGAGGGGGGAAAAAAGTCAGAAGATGGGATGCTGAAAAAATATAGAAAATTATCCCTGATATAACATGGTAACAATTAAAAAGTATTTGATTTCAGACATATTTCATTTCTAGGTTGAAGTTTTCTGAGGAAGGCAAGGCATGATTTTTGTTATTCTTGAGTGTTAAAAAAAAACAGTTTCCATTGGGAAATCAAGACTGATGAAATAAAAAAAAAGCTAAGTAAATATTATGACAGTATCTAGACATCTCTCTAGGAATGTCAATAAACAGAGCTATATGCAGATCTATATATTATATGTCTTTTGATCCATTGGTCTTATATTTTGGGAACTACTCTATAGAACCCAAGGTGGTCATATGTAAAGGCATACATACAAAAATATTAATTTCCATCCTGTAAGTAAAAAATAAAGCTAAAAACAATCTGATTATCCATCAATAGACTGATTGAAAAATTATAATATACCCATATTGTATATATTTTGTTGGTATTAAAAATAATGCACTAGAGTTTAGCTATTGACCTCAAAGGATCTCTGTGATATGTTGTGAGGAGAATAAAGTTACAGAATTATGTATATTATGGGCTAATTTTTTAAAGGACTTGTCTAAGAATTATCCTTTGTATTAGTTGAATACATTACCCATTTACAAATTAAGAAGAAGAAGAAGAAGGTGAAGCCTTCCCATACTTTAAATCAATCAACCAATGAAATAATGCCTGAATGGTAGATCAAACTCCGTACACACAGAAGGTGAAAATTTCTTTTCAGGAACATCAGATCCATGAACCTCCTTTAGACTACTCTGGTCTACTTTGAACATTGTGCTTTTTACCAACATTTGCACCTGGCCCCACATAAATCAGTGGAATGATACATTGGAATGATACATTGACCTATAGAGGAAAATGTGAAAAAAATTTCCTGAAACATAGCAAACATATTACACTTGTCAAAGGAATGTTTCTTTAGCTCTCCTTTGGAAAGGAAACATAGAACTAGTGCTGCTGAGCTCAGCTGTCCAGCGACAGCAACATTACGTCAACACTAATAACTTGCAGTTGGAGAAGTTTAATTTGTTGGAATCCTATAGGATAGAGAGGGTAAGCCAACGACACATCCCTTGTTAAGCCCAATGAATGTGTGCTGGTGGAATTGGCTCCTTTTTACCTGGTATTTATTAATTTCACGTGCACATTTCACTTACACTCCTATAAGATGGAGATGAGTATCACTTGCTTTATTGTTTCTTGATTTTATTTTCTTTTGTCCAGGTAACAATCCAATAGATCTATGAATTACCATTTAGGTAAAGTCAAACACGAGACAGTGTTTCTGTTGCTTATTCGCCAATACTGATAAAATAGTCTTCAGGTGTTAGAAAAATGACCAAGATTGTGACAAGTTTGAGGACTGTTCACTTGAAAGCAGGTGGTATCTGAGAATTAATAGAGATCTAAGTTGAATTTATTGGCAAAAGTACTGAATTTGAAGCACTGAGCTTTCCTCATCAGAATTTCAAGAATATAAGGTAAATATAATTGAGCTAATAAAATACCTCACTTACTTGGTCACCTTTCTTCATTATATCTCTTTCCTTTTTCCTTTATTGAGCTTAATCAAATGTTTATTTGTTGAATTACCCAATAAGTACATGTGATACTCTGCTAGACGCTGTGTGAACAGGCAGAAGAAACAGACAACAAGCATATTTGAGATTTTAAAATGAAAGGTAGCATTCTGATTAAGTGTTCAAATATATGGGAATAATTATGAATATTTAGCATTTGCTGATGCCCAGGCTCTTCCAAGTGTCCTACACAGATTATTCCATGCGTTCCTGACAACAGCTGCAATGATTTCCTGTTTCTCTGTTTTCCCCCATTTTTAGATGAGGAAACTGAGGCACAGAGCTATGAGCTGTCAACTGAAGTAGGAGGGGTATCAGGGGTCCAACAGTTTAGAGGAGAAAGGATGTGATGAAGTGTACGGGGGTGGGTTGGGTAGGGAGAAGGGCCATCATGGCATTTGAGCTGGAGCAGGAGAAATGAGTAAGAGACAGGAGTGCAAAGGCCGTGTAGTTAAAGGACATCCTGAGGCAGGTGAGTGTAGGAACCTTGAGCAGGTATCTTTAGAGGAAGCACACAGCCTTATCAGTCTTCATTCAGCAAACATATGTGAAACAGCTAATAGGTATTAGACACTGTTTGAGTGTCAAGAATATGGAGGTGAATAAAACAGGTAAAATCCCGCCCTGAAGGAACTCCCATTTTAGTCCAGGGACTCAGCAAATAAAGAAGTCAGTAAGAAACAAGTGAGCTAATAAGTAACAAATGAGTGATCTGAACTCCGGAGGACTCAGCGGTAGCAGTTACAGAGGGATGAAGGAGCAGGGAGAAGACTCCACTGGGTGGTCAGAGAGGCCTCGCTGGGGAGGGGACATCTGAGCTGAATCTATTTAGAAAGGAGAAGGAGCCAGTGTGGGAAGAGCCAGGGTGATGAAAAAAGAGAGAGAGAAGGGCCAAGTGTGCC